CGGGGAGCCGGGCACGGGCGGCCCAGGCAGGCTGCTGCCGGGACACGGGCCTGGCGCCCGCTTTGCCCGAGGGCGGTGTGGCCCAGCCTGGACGTCTGGCCTCCAGGATGGCCGGGGCCCACAGGACACGCTGGTTTTACGTAAAAAGCTATTTTTAAAAATGTTATTAATAACAACCGGCGACCTTCCCGCTGTGCTTTATCTGCGCAAACCGGTGTGCTCAAAATAGGCGACACCGGCTCGGGCGAAGGAGAAAAGGCCCCTGGCGTGGCCAGCCTGCCCGCGAGCCCCGCCTCCTCGCCCCCGCAGCCGCCCCGGCGTGACTCCGTGGCCTCCCTGCCCCCCTCCTTGGGGGGTCCCGCCCTACGGCTGCCATCTGCCCCTCGCATCTCCCGAGAACTGCCCGTAACTGCCATCTGTTCAGGGGACCTGGTCCAAGCTGCAGAGCCCTGGCTGGGGCCTGCCCACGTGGCGGGCTCGTGCTCCAGGGCACCCGGTGTCCACCCCAGGACGCCCTGGCCCGCGGCGGCGACCCCCAGGGCCAGAGCCGGGCCCGGCCCTCAAAGTGGGAGCGACGCGGGCGGGGTCTCCCCGAAACCCGCCTGCTGAGGTGGCCGCTCTCTTCCAGGGGGTGATCGAGTTCTCGCTGTGTCTGCTCTTCGCCAAGCTGGTCAGCTACACGTTCCTCTTCTGGCTCCCGCTGTACATCACCAGCGTGGGTGAGCGGGGCAGGGCGGCGGCCGGGCGGGGAGGAAGAGCCTGCGGCTGCCTGGGACGCGCCTCGGTGGCAGCGCTGGACTGCGGAGACGTGCGGGCAGAGTCCGGGGAGCACGGAGAGACGGGGCCGGGGGAGCGGCTAGCAAGGGCGTGGTCAGGGCCAGTCAGGACTGGAAAGAAGAGAGAAATGGGGGGCCCTGGGCTGTGCAGGCGCTGCAGGGGGGTGGGGGGACTCCCGGCGGCATCACGAGGCAGAGCGGGTGGCCGTGAGCCGAGGCCGGACCTGCCGGGTGGGGGCCTAGGACACGGCCGTGCGGAGGCTGGGCGCAGGAAGGCACTTCCTCCGTGGCTGCGTGGCTGCGTGGCCTGGCCGGGCAGGCCCTGCCGTTCCCCCAAGCCGCCGAGGGGGCTCAGCTCCAGCCCGGCACCGGCCGGCGGCATCCCTCTCCGCATGGCACGGGGCCTGCGAGCTGGGCGTGGGCGGCTCTCCCGGCTGCCGCCCGCCGCCCTGCGCCCCTGCCCCCCCCGACCTGTGCCCAGGGCAGCTGCCGCCGGCCCTCAGTGAGACCGTCTCTCTCCCAGACCACCTGGACGCGCAGAGGGCCGGGGAGCTCTCCACCTTGTTCGACGTGGGCGGCATCTTCGGTGAGTGCTGCCGCTGGCTGACTCCGTGGCGGGAGACGCTCTCCCCCACCTGAGGGAGCCCCAGGTCCCTCCTCCGGGGGCCCTGCCTGAGCGTGAGGCCCACACGGGCCGACTGCTCCGCCACCTTGGACAGGAGCCCGCCCTGGGGCGGCGCCAGCACCCGGCAGGTGGGTGGGCTCCGGCCGGCCTAAAGCTGGACTCGGACCCCGCGGGCCCTCGCTGCCGCCACACCCGAGGCCTGGCCGGAGGTCAGTTCTCTGGGGCCAGAGACCGGGCCTGGGAGGAGGCCGTCCGGCCGCTGCCCCTCCTGCCACGCCTCCTCTGCAGGGGAGCCGGAGGCCCTCGGGGCTGCTGGGCAGCCTGGC